CGGCAAAACCGTTAACTGAGAACAGGTTGGAAACAAGCCGACAGCAATGGTCAACTTAGCTGGTTTATTTGTTCAGATTGACAAGTTGAGATAAAATAGAGGATTCTTATGCAGAAAAAGACTGCTTGAAGCTGATACATAATGGCACAGAAAACGCTACGCATTTGTTCCCGGACAGGAAAACAGAGGCAAATAGTACTATCCAATCAGAAGCCATGCGATCGAGGCTAAATCTTCAAAGGATTTTGGCTAAAGAAATGCGAGTCGAAGCTAAAGGATTGTGGCTCGAGACTAAAGCTAGATAGAAAAATATTTATATGCACCTGATATGTGGAGTTTGTCAAAATTGTTCTACAAAATGTAAATCACTTTACATTTATGACCGGTATGTGAGGATGACCATCGAAAAGGTGAAGCAAAACATAGACGTGAACAAAACAACTTACCAGACGGAGAGAAGCATAGCATCAGACAGAGAGGTGAAAGAAGAGAAAGTCCTCTTGTGCATTGATCGAAAACCGATCAATAACATGATCAAGTCAAGACGGATCTCTCGGTTAAAGATAGCTATTCGACGGATGTCTCACGTTGGCGAAGGCCAAAACGGGTACCATATATATATATACTGAAAATAATGCATAGATCATCAGATCGGAATTCCTAGACCGATCGATAATTAGTGCATTTGGGCAGATTGGGATCATCAAAATTAAGTACTGTATGGATAATGTCATCAGCGTAATTTATATATGAGTTAAGGGATTTGAACAAACGAATTGTTCACATAAATGACTGGTGAGTGAGCAGATTACCAGAGGAAGTTTATCAGGACAAACGAATTGATGGCGGTTTGTGAAACAGCCCAGTAGAACATGTATGATGCAGATAGAGGGCAAGCAACGAAGACCTGTCTCCCAATAATACGCGGAGTATCACGCTAATAGATAAAAAAGAAATTCGCACAGTTTTACATCCCTGACCTGGTGCAAACATAAATGGCATCAAATCTACTCCCGGGAGTTTGGAAAAGAGCATTGTTTGGAGGTAACAGATTCCATTAGAACCAAGTTTTGTAAAAGGAACCTTTTCAACTGCTTTCTGGACAGATGCGCGGTTCATATTATATGTGGATTTCGTTTCGTACTGTTTTTTTTTGCAATGGGCCTGATACCGGAAGCCCACAAACAGTTGGGAATCTTTCGTCCCAAGGATATGATCGAATAAATCCAGGAACACCGACGACAGTGCCCACGATATTGTCAAGCCTATCGTCTACCATTCCATTCTCTCCGTGTACGTGGTGGGTAAGGCTGGAAGAAAACGTCGCGGTGGTCAGATCATGACAAGGTATAGAGAAATAAAAAATTTAGCATTGGCTTTATCTTCCACTAGCGCAGCCTGCCTTCCGGATTGGAACCAATGAGATCAGAATTGTTCGTGGTCAGAGAGGCTATGAGAAATAGCTCAGAATAGAACTTCACTGGTGTGAATGGCCTGCGATCTGCCTGTTAAAATCCCGTGATCCATAAAAAAGTCATACAAAAATATCAATTTGTGTGCGATGAAATACAAAAGAAACTTTTGTTATTTGTTATTGTCTGTTGCTATCCATTACAACTGGTTAACCTCCGTTTCACTTCATACTGTATCCCAGTCCCTCTATGCCGTCGTATTGTTACTATTGTTGCACTGGTTTCATCATCAGTTCATTGTAGTTGTCAAGGTATTGAAAGACAATTATTAGGAAGAGGAGAATAATTTTTAGGTGTGGTTAAAAACTTTATGCATGAAATCACTGTAAAAATGTCCAACTGACGATTGTGATTTTATCGGGTGACTAGTTAATTTTTTTTTAACTGTATTTCAAGTTTTACCAAAGGTCCCCATGGTAGAAAGCAGGATTTTTGCTGCACGTGAAATTCAGCCACCTGACCTCGTTGCTGATGTTTTGGCTGAAATTTCTGACTAATTAATATTCATGCGTCCTGTTTCAATTTTTTGTGTTATAGTTGTTTCACCGTTAATATAAAAGGCTCTGTGAGGATAATATATATATATATATATCATAACGAAAATTGATTGATATGATCACCTAAGACGGGAAGATGAGTTCGAGTAATTGAATGTAGACCAGTCTGTTTATGCGATCACATCTCGAAGTCACGTGATCTGCTCGGGGCATAATTGACATCCATGCACCTTCAAAGTTGGAACACCTGGACATTTGTGTATTGCATCGGTGTCGGGGCCTGCGTGGCCTAGTCACTCTTTTTACAACTGCCCGTATCAAATCCCGATCACAGAACGTTCTGCTCAGTCTCTCTTTCTCTATCCGCTCTAGGTGGTACTCTATTCCACAAATGGTGTAAGTGTTTCTATCGCGTTTCAAAAAGATCTCGATCGTTTTCTCTTCACTCGATCAGTCTTCTCTTCAACCCTCACTGTACTATGAATTCTTACACCAGTTCCCCGGGATCATAGAAAATCGAATCTGACAGAGTGAAAGTGCCCGTAAACATCCTGGTAGTCCCGTAGATTGAGCTTCTTTCAAGTGCTCAACAATAGGGATCTTACCCAGTGATCCATATATGCCAGAGAGTTATAAGCCCATAGGCTTCATAAACATTCCCAGTAAGATTTGTAAACGCTTTTTGAAGACTGGCCGGGTAAAATGATTTTCTCGGAGACCAATCTTGCATCTTGCATCTCCAATTCTATGAACAGTCCA